TTCCACTTTACAGGGCTAATCCTGTAAGGAAGGCAGGAGGGAAACATTCTAGTGTTGTTTCTAGCCTAATCTCTATTGCCCTCTAACGTCCATAGACCTGAGTGACCTTGAGTTGGCCACGCCCACCCTGTCACATGACCACCGAGCCCCACCTACCCAGCTGGTTATTAGGGCAGAGAACCGGTTGTTAAATTATTTGAATCCCACCACTGATACATACATACTAGCATGAATTCAGGAGACTCCTCCCTCTCCTACTTATCTTCCAAGTTACTTGCGTTGTGCTGGGGATTTCTTCATTATTTTAAGCAATGGTGCGTTTGTTTTATGGCTCATATTATACCTTTAGGGAGCGTTCGGCACAAAACAGCCAGAAATTAGTGATGATTTTCAACAATTGTTGTTAGAAGAGATTCTGAGAGATGCAAAGGAGAGCTCTGGGACTACATATTGCCCTGGGAAGGCAATTACCCACTCCTACCAAAGGAACGCAGGAGATTATTTTATTCTGAGTGAGATAATTGCTCTTCCTAGCTCTGGAATCTAATTTGAAAGCCATGGAAATAAATCCAGAGTTTTCAGCATGCAAATATAGCTCTTATGCCAGCAAACTGTGGCCCGATCTGTGAGTACCAGTTGCTGGCAACATGGAAAGAGAGAGAGCAGCTGAAGTAGTTAAAAGTGTTGGGCTAGAAACAGGGAGATCTGGGTTCAAATCCATTTTTTTCTTAGGGGAAAAGTGCTTTCAAACATAGCTTCAGTAAGTTTTAGTCCTCAACTTAAAACCCCAAACTGGGATCAGAGTTTCCATTGCTAAGCGAAGTAGGTGTTAAGTGAGTTGCCCCCAATTCTACAATCATTTTTGCCACAGTTGCTAAGTCATCCAGATTCTGGTTGCTTTTTTCAAAAGGCAACTGGACTTTCTTTTGAAAGCATTTCACTTCTCATCCAAGAAGCTTCTTCAGTTCTGGAGAACTGAAGTTCTGAACTGAAGAAGCTCCTCAGACGAGAAGCCAAATGTCTTCAAGGAAAAACAAAAATTCCAGTTGTCTTTTGAAAAAGCACTTTTGGGATTTAACTTGTGATTTAATGAAACGGAGAAGGAGGAAACCTTCCTCTTATATTCAGGTCAGGAAATGAACATCTGAAAATGTGCGCCAACTCTTTTAGTGATGATAGAATAGAATTCTGGGATTCGTTATTCCAACATATACTAGAACTTCTAATCATGACCATAATTCGTTCCATAACTTTGGTCGTGACCTGTGGTGGGATTCAAAATTTTGTACTACTGGTTCTGTGGGCATGGCTTGGTGGGCATGGCATGGCTTGGTGGGAGTGGCGCTGTGGGCGATAAAGGGGAAGGATACTGCAAAATTACCATTTCCTCCCCATCAGCTGGGACTTGGGAGGCAGAGAATAGATAGGGGTGGGGCCAATCAGAGGTGGTATTTACCGGTTCTCCGAATTACTCAAAATTTCTGCTACCGGTTCTCCAGAACTGCTCAGAACCTGCTGAATATCATCTCGGGTTGTGACCCAAATCTAATGTTGGAAAGTTGATGCTTACAAAAAAATATGGCGCAGAAGGGGAAATGGGCCACGAACACCCCCCCCCCCCCAAAATTGACGATTTTTTGATCTGAACCTGATTTGGTCGTTGTCAGAAATGTTTGTGACCAGAACTTCCACAGGACTGAGGAGACAAGTTGAATGATTGTAAATCTCAAGCAAAGGGTAAGCAATCTTTCTCTCTTTCCCATTTTTCTCCCCCTCAGAGTTTGCTCCAGCTTTAAAACCAGGATTTTGGAAGGTCCCTCAGGAATGGAAAAAGATTAATGACTCTATTCCTTATTCCCCAACAAGTGGGAACTGTCTGGATTTAAAAACCAGTGATTTCTGCATCTCAGCCGTATTAGGAACACAGTAGGTATCTGCTATGATTTTCCTTTTACCTACAGTGCCTTCAGGGGCTCAGCGGCTAAGACACTGAGCTTGTCGATCGGAAAGATCGGCAGCTCAGTGGTTCAAATCCCTAGCGCTGCGCAACGGAGTGAGCTCCCGTTACTTGTCCCAGCTTCTGCCAACCTAGCAGTTCGAAAGCATGTAAAAAATGCAAGTAGAAAAAGAGGGACCACCTTTGGTGGGAAGGTAACAGCATTCCGTGTGCCTTCGGCGTTGACTCATGCTGGCCACATGATCACGGAGACGTCTTCGGACAGCGTTGGCTCTTTGGCTTAGAAACAGAGATGAGCACCGCCCCCTAGAGTCAGGAACGACTAGCACATATGTGTGAGGGGAACCGTTACTTTTACCTTTAAGGTGTCTTCTCCCCCTAAACAGGTAGTCCTCGACTTACAACCACTTGTAACTGTTGAACGTTACTGGTAAAAGGTGACTTATAACCAGTCGTTGAAGATACAACCATCACAGAATCCCCAAGTAATCAAAATTGGGGCTTAGTATCGCTTATTAGTACCGCTTCATAAATCCTTACTAAGAAGACCATACCTGGAATACTGCATCCAGTTTTGGTCACCACATTACAAAAGAGAGATTGAGACTTTGGAAAAAGGCTGACTCTGTAAACCTCTTAGAGAGGGCTGTGAAGAACTGTGAAGCAGTATATATAAGTCCAGTGTTTCTCAACCTTGGCAACTTGAAGATGTCCGGACCTCAACTCCCAGAATTCCCCAGCCAGCGAATGCTGGCTGGGGAATTCTG